ATCCGAGAAATAACAATTATTAGAGAGAATAACTAAAAAATCTTAAAAAGTTTTCCCATAGAAATCCATCCTTTCTCGCCGTGCGAGCCCCCAGCGGCGTGTGTAATACAGATCTGCTGCCAACCTATCATTACATGAATTGTGTGCCTCCCATCGAGGCGCCATGCCCTGCGATGATGTTCGCCCGACTCATTAATTTTAATCAAGTCGCCTTGCCGCGGGCGTTCGGTCTTATTTTCCTTGCCGACTTATTTGACTGCAGCAGCAAAAATGAAAACCTTTGGGTGCGCTGCTGACCACTCAGCGAAAATAATTTCCGACCATACAGAGAGGCTAACCGCAGATTAATAGACACGTTTAAGCCGGATTAAAGATTGAAGGTTATAATTTAATTTTGATAAAGCTTCCTAATGGCATAAAAGGATGTTGAAGATTAATTTTGTTTTTGCTAAAAGTATGGCTTTTAAAAAGACATAAAGCAATTTAACTGCTACTCATTTTATAAAGATTAAAGCCTGTGGAACTTCTACAATTTATATAAATTTTGAAAATGATAGTAAATCAAAATTTTAGTGCTTTTTAAATTCACAAAAAAAAAACATTTGTATTATTATAAATTGAAAAATGTGAATCTTGTAGTTTTTATTTAAATTTTTAATCTTTTTTTAAGGTGTATGCAGGCGAAAATAAAATTACCCAAGTCCTGTGAAAAAATCTACAGATTGTGGTATTATGATATGAAATAATTATTATAGCATTTTAAAAATAAACACAAATAATTGATTTATTTCAAGTGATTATTTACGCTAATTCTCAGGTATGAAAATTTTAGTTTCTGGATAAAAGTTATCAAAAAGTGTAAGCAACATTCCTGAATTTTTCGCAAATATTACAAAAACACTGAAAAATACCTAAAGTTAAGAAAAGCAAATAAATGAATATATTTTTCCAATAATTGAAAAATAAACTTTAAAATCATACTAATAAGACATATCAGAAAATTATTACAATATTAGAAATTCGTAAGATTAAAGTGGCATTTTGAGCAGCTGCGCATATATTAATAAACCTCAAAATTTATTAACACTTTATATTTATTTTTTATTTGAATCTAATTTGGCTGGCGGTGGAGCCATTTGGGGGTTATTTTGGTCTATTTATAGCCTGCGGTGCAAGAAGGCCCGATCGTGACGCGCATTTTTAATTGCACCACCAGACACGCTGCTGCAGGACACGTGCACGTGTTGTTTGTTGCGCCCAACGAGAGTGCACGTGCCGTCCGTCTCGCGCGAGAGACGCGGCCCATTAAAATCATTTCACCAGATGCCGAGCGATGTTTTAATTTTGGGTAAAACTCGTCTCCACCTCTCACACTTTGTTTAAAAACTGCATGGCAGGGGGTCGGGGCGACTTCAAAGGTGCAGCAGCTTCTGGACCAAACAAGAAAATAATGAGCCCCGAGTGATAAAGCGCAGAACCCAAACTGGCGCCAGCAGAAATTTTTTGGAATCCGAAAATCGTGTTGCGCGCGGTTTATCGGAGACCGATCTTTTCGCGGCGGAGAGAGATTTGTCGAGTCACAAATCCGGCTGCATTAAGAAAGAGCAAGAACGTGTCCTTTGTGTGATATCACGGGGGCGCGGTACCTTATTGGCGTCTCGGATCGGCCGCAGATTGAAAAATGAACTCGGCATGCACGGTGAGGGGTCTGTGCTTGGGATCGCGTGATATCAGAGGGAGATAGGTATTGTCTGCTGAGAGAGATTTATTATGAAATGTGGTCGGAAACAAAGACGCTGTTGCCAATTTATGGAAAATACCTTCAAAGGTAAAGGCACAAGAAAATTATAATGTCAAATAATAAAACTTCAAAATTTAAAAAGAAAATAATAACAAAAAGTTTGAGTATTTTAGCTATTTAATTAACAAATATGTATGAAAGGATGAATTTCAGTTCAAAAAACACCCTCAGGATATGTTTCAAGCAGTAAAATGAACGAAACAATTTTTAAAAAATTGAAATATAAAGGTTTTCTGGTATTTTATTGATATTTTTTTTTATCAAAATTGTATGATGGCACTTCTATAGGAAAGGGCTTTATAAGTATTCTTAAAACAGTTTGTTTAAAAATAAATTGCTTGTACAGTTTTATTTAATTTACAAAAGAGACTATAAAAAGTAATCAAAAAGTAATTTCCATTGAAAATGCCTGATAAAATATCATTTTTCAACGATTTCAAAACACAAATATAATCACAATTTGCACAATCTGCAAAAATCCTTAAGTCAGGAACTAATCAGTGATCAGAAACAAACTAAAAAAAACTTTTGCATCAATCTTTTGTAATCTTTTATTACAATAAAAATTAAGCTTAAATTTTGATTTTTTTTTTTGTGAAACTTATTATTTTTTTTCTGTTTGAAATATGAGTCTTTTTGAAGTTTCTCGAAACAGCACTCGGGTTTTAAGCAGTGACATTTGTTATGATTACATGGGCGAGGGATGTCTTTGCATTCAAAGAGCAGCTCCGTGGTCGGTCGGTCGACCCTTTTCTGCTGGTGAATATAACAGTAATACTTGTCTCTGTCCATCATCATTCATCACGGCGGCGGAAAAAGTGCCGCGCGATTCGGCCGAGGGTGCGCCTCGCTAGCTGGATTTGTTACATCCATTTGTCTAGCACTTCTCGGTAAAAGCTATATAATGCCCTGAATGGACGGACGCGCGCGTGATTTGCCCATTTCATGTCGAATTTCACGCCTGCCAGCCGCCAATGCATTCTGATGCAAACGCGGCCAGAGATGCCACCCAAATGGCTTTCGAATCAAAAGCGCCGCTGGAAACTCTGCCGGCGCAGATAAAAGATCTTGACGTGCAGAGACACACTTTTTGCACCGACTTATTTCAATTGAGAAAATTCGTATCTTTTAATAGAAAAAAATTAAATAAAAATGATTATAAATTATCTTGAATTATCTTGCGATTAAAAAATTTGCAAAAGATTAAAGAAATATATAAAATTTATCAAACTTTCACACGTTTCAAGCCTAAGTTGTTTAAATTTCATAATTATATAATTCAAGATCCTTATTTTATTCCAGAAAAAAATTACTTGTTTATCTAAAAATTTCCGGTGTCTTTTGTTTTTGAGAATAAATTAATTCAAAAATTTAAACTATTCAGTGATGTAGTGATTCAGATTTAAAATATAAGATTTTGATTTTGGATGAAAAATTTCAAATTTCCAGGGAATTTTTTCCTTTTACAGCTCCTGACGATGAGAAGTTTGTCGTCAACCCTGGAAAAAAATATGACAAAAATCATGAATTTTGTACATCTCTTCCTACAATTTGGAAAGTGCGTTCGCGTTCCAAGAAAAATAACTTTTGAGCTCCTTTGAGCTTTCCAAGCAGGGACGAAAACTTTTTGTCACAACTTCCACCCCCAACGTCTCTTTACAACTCTCTTATTCTCTCTGATGGGCTCGCAGCGATAAAATAAGAAGTTTCCTTGCTGCATCTGGTAATGGTGCATAATAATCCGCACGAGGCACGTGTAAAAAATAATGAGTAGCGATTTGCTTTGGTGCAAGAAGAAGTGCACCCCGTCGACTGCTGCATTAGGTTAATGAGGTGTTCAAAATGTCAAACTCCCCCGCGCTCGCTCGGCTGGGCATTTCTTTCTCTCTCTGCGCCTGGCTAGCTGTTTACACGCATTTCAACAGCCTAACAGAGATTTATTCTCTCTTCGATCCGATTGGATTAGACAGAACGAAATAACAACAATGGCCCCTTTTTCGGTCGCACGAGCGCGCCGAGATTCTTCCGTCTTCTTTTGTCGTCCGATAAATAATAGAGACCCTTTCGCGTGTCACAAATCAAACGCTGGTAAATGTCAAAGTGGAGGAAATGCGTAAAAAGCAGCATTCTAATGGGACCACTAATTTGTACCTTTATTCGCTGCGGACAAAAAAAAAATGAGATAAGCCGCTTCTTAAAAACTAGTTCTCCAGCAACAGCTCAATGGACGCGCGTAAAAACTTAATGAATTTTTTGGTGGCGCTGAGCTTATTGTCGGGCGTTTCCAATTTACATGCTTGTATTTAGCCCGACGTGCATGAATAAATAATTATATTACAAGAGTAAGAAACTTGCTCAATGGAAATTACCATCGTAATTTTTTTTACTAATTTACTAGCCTTAAAAGGCGTTACAAAATTGTATTCAATAAACAAGATTGATCATTCTGATGAGCCACAAAAAAAATGTTAGCCTCTTTTTTATTAAAAAAAAAAATTGCTATGCAGATACATTGTAATCATTTTCAGTTCGTACTCTTAAATTTTGTCATCCTTGCAACATAAAATTAATCAAAATGTTAAAGATCAAGAAGTCATACCCGAAGATAAACTCGAATATAATAATTTAATTTGATAAATAACTCAAGGCCAGTCTTCATTAGATGCAGCTTTGTCGAGGCTCCCCGCTTTTCTTTCTCTCTTATATTTGATTAACGAACGGACAAAAACAATGCATCTGTATTCGACCCATAGCAAAGTGAGAACACCTGCACATATAATTTCAAACTGATAGAGAAGAACGAGCTGCGTCAGTGTAATTGATTCGACCTTGATTACGACGAGATATATAGAAATAAATAAATTTATCGTAGGTGTTGGTTGGTAGCCGTCGTTACTTTACATCTCTCTACGAATTCATTACAATATGATCATTGCGTCCGAGACGTGGCAACGAGGCCTCGGCGGTTTGATGTTTGCCTTCGGTTTGTTTCTCGATGGGCCCCAACGAGCAAGACGCCTACTCCGCGGTGTGTTTTGAGGTAGAGGAAGAGAGAGAGACTCTTTTTAGGAGGGAAACAGACGCACACTCTCGCTGCTGGAAAAAATTTTCAGTGTGCGTTTGGATTGTGCGCGAGGAACAACACAGTCTCGGGGTGCGCTTTCTCCGCGTTGGATACAGAAATAATTTTGTTTGCGCGTCAAAGTGTCTGCCGAGTTCTTCGATGGAAGTAGCGGTCAAACCCGATATCGGCACAATTAAATACAAATAATAATCTCGTCAACTGGTTCTTCTCTCTTTCGGACGGAGGATGCATTTCGAATGGCAACGAACCGCTCGTGTCCAAATTAGGAACGCTGCCGCCACCGGATTACCACTCCAGGTGTTCCTGCCTCGCTGCTTTTTTCAATTATTGTGACTCTTCGACTTTTTTGTACTCCCGGCGACCAACTATACAGCTAAATGACCTTCGTGGCCGCGAGAATTAACCGATATTAAATTCTGAAAAATGCAGGAAGAGGTGAGCTTTGTAAGGGTGTTTATAGGAAGGGTTTTTTTCTCAAGCACTTCTGTTTTCATTGTCAAAAATAGTGGCGTGTTTTTTTTTACTAAACAATTTATGGCCTGTGTGCACATATATTAACGCGGATGGAGATTTTTTCCTCGGAAATGCATTCAACCCCCTGAGACCTTTTTCATTCTCTCTATTGTGTTTTTTGAGAAAGAACGTGGCCTGCTTGTTCAAGTATAAGTGCCTTCCTCCTGTGCGCGGACCTTCGACTCTTGGGGCCGTTTGTCGACGTCAATGCGCCCTTAAATCAAACAGCAGCCTTTAAACAATATTATGCCTTTATCTCGAGGTTTGTTTTATTGCCGAGATGAATTCGCCTCTCTTATTACTTTTTGATGTTTTTTATTTTCTTCTTATCTCTCTCTTGGTGAAACGACCCAATTTGGCACTAGTCGCGCTTCCGTATGCATCAATTAGTATTCTTAAGTTATGGCCTTTTTATTGTTTAAATTGGGAGCGGAGAGCACTTAAGAGCGATGCTGCGGTTTCATCACACTTGCCGCAATCAACATGTTGATCAAAACGAACGGCCAATCCAGACCATAAAATTAAAAAGTGCCAGAGTGTAAAAAAAATATAGGCTCCAGCCAAAGATAATGTTTTTTTGACATTTTTTTTCTTTCTAAGTTTTGAAAGCAAAAACAAAAAGTTCTCGGAAGGATTTATATATAACTTGGCTTGAAGTCAGAAACAAAACAAGCTGCATTTAAACCGCTGCAGACGCGAATGGGATGAAATTCAAAACACATGCATGATGCGGTCATGAGGTTCTCGCCGAGCACTCGCGAGAAGAGATGCTTTTTGTGCGAAAACAGTGCATATTTATTATAAGTGGCTTGCTGGTATTCATTACATGCATTGCAGCCAGCAGAGTGCTCGGCTACTTGAATTACTCTCAGCTTGCCACTTAAACGTATATTGTGCGCTTATCGATAATTTGGTAAACAGTGAGGATTTTGAATTAAATGGCGCAGAATTTTATTGTATAGCGCAAAGTTTTATTCTCAGCAGATTAATTGTGACTGGAAATTATTTAGTTTATTTAAATTAAATAATAAATTTCTCTTTATTATACAATTATTTGGGCATATTAATTCAATTTCATTTGAAATTTAAAGTAAACTAATACATAAATTATTTAATTAAATTAATTTTTACGTGACACCAATCATTAAGAAAATTTTATTTAATTTGCTTTATTATCACTATTTTTTTTATTATATTTATTATGTTTTAAAAAATTTTTCCTTGATTTTTATTTTCCTTATAAAATATACTGCTATTTTCTTAATATGCGGTCTAGTTTTAAGTTTTTATGTAATATACTAAATGGTATAAAATAATAGTATGGGTACAACTGATACTTTACGTTGACGAGCCTGTTTCTAAATAAGAAACTTCGCAATTTCGTAGATTTTCTATCATAATTATTTGAAGATCAGTATCAATAAATTTCTCCAACATAATATGTGAAAAACTAACTAATTAATAGCGTTTATCATTTAAAAACTGAAATAATTTATTAAAAAGACTCGGCAGGGTGCTATAAATTAGTATTTATTTATTATTGTCATACAAGAGAAGTAATTTTAAAATAATATGTCAGACAATGCTTGTTCCTTGTTTCAGCTCTCATTAATTATTTAAATTCACCTAACCGCATAATCTTCTTTGAAAATCTTTCAATCTCTATAAATAGAATGAAATTAATATCAGCATGGCATATTATTGTAAATATCTGAGATAATTGAATAGCCCTGAAACTTTTTACTTGTAAACCAAAAATTTAAAGTGTCGCCTAACTCAATTTTTTTGCCGTGATCTCTGTCTGGGCGCATATTAATCCCGATCCAGCCACTCGGCTCACACGCACGTACACACCATGTACCAAAAAGTCACAACACACATGCTCGAAATTGATCATTTTTTAGACTAGCTGAAAACGTGTGACGCAATCGCAGACGGGTTTAGGGGGCTAGAACGATGATTTAGTCTCGGCAGTAACATATATTTACTCGGAGCACATATGAGACTCTCTCGAGTTGTGGGACAGGCCGCGGAGTTGGTTTCGAGCGCGCGAGTGGGGCGTTCCGAGTCTCTTTTCTATTAGTCTGTCCGTGTGTCGCGCGGCGTCAACCTCGCGCCAAAGTGCCGCTCCAGCGAATTATTTTTTTTTCGCATTCGACTTAATTCGCGAGTGTCAGTGAATATTTTTTAACCGAGCGTCATGCCCTTTGCCTTTAGTTTGTTGTGCTGATTTTCCGATATGGAGGTGAGTGACCAGGGCGATCACCTGACCAGCAGTTAGCGCCGCGTGTTTGCATTTCGTTATCAAATTAGTATGTGTGCGCACGCGGTGCCAACTAACAGATAAACACAAACGTATTCAGCACACGGCTAGAATTATTTGCGCTTGTCATATTTCGGACTGCATCGGACGTGCGCATTCGTACAAAGAGGGGCGTGCAAAACGTTGTGCAAAGTGAATTTATTATTATGACATTGATTCGCATTAAAATCTGGGTTGAGAGGATTCCATAAATGTGCATAGACTTATTTATATAGACACAAATTTGTTTAAAAATTCAAGTGTAAACAAGATTATTCAAATTTTATTGCACCAGAAACCCCTTAGTAAAATTTTTAGAATACAATTTTCAACTTAAATCGATCAATCCTTTAAGCGGTTTAATTCATTTTTATATTACTTCCGGCAATAAAATACATTTTTAAAATTAAGAACGTCATTAAAATCACAAAATAGTTCAAATTCAGTTAAAAATTGTTTTCCCCACAAGCCCATCAGTATGATTTTAGAATTGAATTATGGTAAAATTGCTATCAACACTTCTTTAGAGGTGAGGGGGAATTTCAAAAATTAATGAAATAAAATTAGTCCTGAAACTAAGTGCTGAATATTTATTAAAGTGCCCTAGTTCATGACTCATGACAAATAGAACTCTTAATAATATTTGATTAAATTTACAAAATCCTCTCTCAGCGAGTTTTATTGTTGGATTTATTTTTTTATTCAAGCTGTGCAGTGGGCGGAAATTATGTAAACGAACAATGACGGTTTGCGTTTTGCCACATTATTGAAATAATACCGAGTAATTGCGCAGCACAGATTTTCATATACATATGTATAAATATAATGTACTTGGGCGGTGAGTGTGCTCGTTAAATATTAACACGCTCTGCAGCATGCCAAGTTTGCTCTGGGAAAATGAAATGCTGAGCGACCAGGCTAGCGCAAGCGACGAATGATGCAGAAGAGCTTTTTTTATTTTGCACAAAAAGCAGAGCACACTTTACCGCAGAGCAATTTTCACCATTTTCGTTTACGCCTTGCTTGAATCAAATGTAAAGAATTATTTTTGTAAGCTTTTATTCATTCAAGTCATTTTGACAATTTTTAAAAAACAAAATTTTTTAACTCAAATTTTTATTTTCATGATTGCATTTCAGAATTATTAAATGATAAACAAAACCGTGCGTTTGCAAAAACATTTTTCATGTTGTCTGTCAAAAACAAAACAAAAACAAAATTTTAGATGTGTCAATCACTAAGGCTTTGTTCTGCCCATAATGAGTTTCATTAATTTAGAATATTTTTTTCTACAACCTCTTGCAATTTTATATTGTTTTTGAAAACATCATTTTATTGTAGGTCAACAACTGCTACTTCCAGAATTTTGCTCTTGAATTTAATAATGTTGGCGAAAACCACCGGTGCCAAAAGTGAGAAATCAGTTGTGTCGAAGTAATAAATCCGCCTGATTCCAACAGCGTGGCCATTGATCACAAGCATAAAGTCATTTTTATAGGAAGAGTTCGCAGGATCATCAGAACTGAACTGCAAATTGAATTCCTCATTTATGCACCCAAATATATAAGAATATAGGTTTTACAGTTAGAGCACCAGGCGTCGAATCTCTCTCTATGCAGATATGTAATTCTGGATTAAAGCTGAAACGTGTTGAAAGGTCAGCGTCTGTGCCGCAAGCTGTGAGGGAAAGAACATTTGCGGTTTTGGACTTCAATTTCTGTAACATGTTTACAATCAGTTTAAGGACAAAGTAATTGTTGAACAACATTTGAAGAAAATATTTTGACGGTTAAAGTAAAATTTGAATAAAAATACTGACATCTCCATCGTAAAAGATAATTTCTCCAGTCGTATTCATTGAGAAATCGGGATACAAAGAGTCTGCCATGTTGTATCTGTGCGAGTAGATAAAAGACTTGCAAACCTTGCCAACGTACACTCTTTCGGTCAAATCAAATAATCTAACAAGCATATGTGAGACTGAGGTCGACTCAACATGACTGTAAACATCAAAATCTTTTGCTGTCGCTCTGTATGAAAATGATGAAAAACGTGATTAAGTTCCTAATCGATCACCAAAATTTTGGACTCACCCCACAAAAGAAATCGAGGTCACTGAAGATAGAACGTAGCGACTGCTCAGTATCAGAGCAGGCATGGACAAATTTTCATCCAGCCTTTTCAGTTTTACCTGAAATAAGAACTCAATTTAAACGTAAAACGCATTATTTTCAATAATTCCATTCTCTCACAACAAGTCAGAAAAATACAAAAGTCATGAGAATTGCATGGGAAAGAATTGGTAGCTCTAGTAATAAATCACCAATTTCTAATATCCTGTTATTTGTTTCGAATATTTGAAAAATTCTGCTTGTGCTTCAAAATCAGGTGTGATTTTTATTCGAACCAAAATTATCTGAGCTCTGGAATACCGATCGTAGAATACAGGAAAGAGCCACGTATACCGGCCACGTACCAGCTTTTCTTTTGATAACAAATTGTGCCAGCTCAATATGGTGGGAATAGATCTCCCCAATTTTTGTTGTGCTATATCAATATCAGTCATGCAAAGTCAGTCACTTAGACTTTATATTTTATGCAAGCAAAGGCAAAGGTTGCTGCTATTGTGCCCCCAGCAGTCATCGACAAGTCACCAGTTTTTATATAAACCACTTGCACGGAAAGCCCACTGGACTTGCCCCATCCTTCTTTTCAGATCAGATACAGGATTATGGGCAAAACGATTGTAGAGCTCTGATTTTGATGCACAAGATGGAAGTTTTCAATCGCGTTTTTACAACTCTAATATTATTATTAATTTTTTTCGATAAAAAAATTAGTACATGGAGTACTTAAATTGTCTTAAATTGCTATGCTTAAAATTCACGCTAAAGAATTTGTTCCAATTTGCACTTGCCACGTAGTTGTATTTTGCCAGGTCTGCATCTATGGTTGGGCCATATGCAGCGTCGACAAAATCTGTAAATTTTTAAATTGTTTTGCTGTTAATTATAATGATCACTTAAAAAAGTTTCATGTTTTTATAATTAAAAAAAAAAAAAACATATTTAAAACATGTATCCGGGCAAAAAAGCTATTAAGTTGAGTTGAAATGATTGCAAAAAATTAAAAATTCCGGAATTTAATATAATTTTTGAAAATTAATTCTAAAAATTGAAATAAAATTGAACCAATAAATTAATACTTGGATGCAGAATAGCCACCAGAACGATTTTTAAGACGGACGTGGTGTTCATGTTGAAGGACTGAAATCAACTACGTGGAAAAGAGCAGCAAAAGTTGCCAATCAACCTACTTTTCCAGCATATGGTCGCGTGATTTTGACCAACGATATATGATAAGGCCAACTTCAAAAACTAAAGTTTTCTTTTTAAACGGAAATGCGTGAAGGAAACGTCAATTTGTTGTAAAAGTTTAGATATGAGGAAGCTACGTTGTTTTTTAAATTTTATTTAAAAGCATTTAATTTCATGTTTTGTTTTTTCGTTATTTCATTAAAATTGCAACATGATTTACAAATATCTAAGCTCATTTCTCTCTTATTGTATTGAATGTCTCGATGTAAAAAATAAATAATAAAATTTTTATACTTATCATTGAAGTTGAGAGTAAATGATAAACTTGCTAGTCAAATCGTTAAATTCGCACAAAATCGGCGCCACATGAACAGTGAAATTATTTTCCAAGCTCTATATTGCTTTCAATTTTTTACTATATTCGATAAATTTTCTCAAAAGTAATTTTAACAATTTTTGTTTGAGCCTTGTTTGAATCAAACGTAAATTATATTTTCACACTATTATACAACACAAGTAATTTATTTTCACGGTCGTTCCAGAACAAAATGGATCACACAAATTTTTTTCGGAGGAAAATCTTCGGCATTTTAAAAGAATTAACTGTGCTTTAAGGACTCCATATTGACATAGTCAAATCAAGTCTTTACAACAATGGTGGTTAAATTTTCCAATTATTGATAAAATATTTCCTATTGTTGAAAAGACTTGATTTGACTATGTAAATAAGGAGGCCTTAAAATTTTTGTGAAAGCAATTTTATTGATAGGCATTCTTCTATATAAAATCGTTTAAAATCTTTTTTTACACATTTCAGAAGAGGCTGTTACAATTTTTATTCACTTCCTCACCAAATTAAAAGAAATTTTTTAAATTAAAAAAGTGTCATCATATAAATCACGATCATTAATTTACGACTTCTTGCATTAAAAGATGAACAATTTACTCGTGACTTTCGCACAAAATCGAAGCCACATGAACAGTGAATGCTATTTTCTTTGAAGGTCGCTGCGTTGATCTCTTTCCTCTGCTTATCTCATCATATATTTTTTTTCAAGTGCCCTCTCATCCTTCTCTTTTGAGAACAGTTTCCCGCGTGCATTCAACGCCAGCAGGAAACGCTTGTTTGCGCCACAGAGAGTGGACAAAGGACCGTCACATAAAATAAAGTCACTTGTCAGAAGCAATTGCGTAAATTAAACAGCCCTGACCGCACAAAGTTTGCGTTCAATTCCAGCAGCTTTTGCTCCACTTCCGGGCCATGTGCTGTCGCTAAAAATACGCTCGCTATTTTGGGATGGCAAATTCGCTCTTCAAAATTAATCCGCCGCTCTTCTCTCTCAAAAGTCATTTTTCGTCCCCTGGCGCCACTTCCGTTGACGGAACAGGGGTGGCTGCGTCAACCTTCCCTTAAGCGATGTCACTTCCTCCGAAATTAACTAGGCAAACACCAATTTCACGCCGTTTCAAAGTAGTGCACATACATCCGAATGCAGTTCGAAATTAAAGGAAACAGAAGTGCTTTTGATGGGGAGGATTTTTCCTTTTTATTTTTTATACATTTTTTTCCTTCTTCCGCGTGCTCTGGATGGGAATTTTTATATTTTAATTGTAGGCGGGGGAGCAGAAAGGCAAGGGTAAATGCAGCCGCTACCGAGACACGGCGCGCGAGATCCACAGGCAGCTGAAAAAGGCGGCCTGTTTGATCCCGCTGGTCGAAATGTGTGACTTGGACTTCCAGCGTTGTCGGGACAATGCGAGTGAAAAGGCCCCGCAGCAAACGGAAGCGAACGGATGTCTTGAAAATAACAACAGCATCGCACCAGATAAGATCATGGTAAGAAAAATTGAAACAATAAGACTTAATTATTTCTCATAAAATATAATTAGCAATAAATATTTACAAAATCTAAAAATAAGAACGATTAAAGGAAAAGAACCTGTTTGCGAATGATTTGAAAATTCTGCTGAAATCCAGCCGAGCGGAACAATTCAATCAATCAAGCATGATGCACTGCACAAGTAAGTGCAGTAGCCGTATTTATTACACTTGTGTCGTGTCAAAGAGCCGGAGCAATTTTTCATTGTGTGGTCGAGTCGGTGAGTGTCAACGCCGTAAGTGATGAAGCTGAATTATAATTGCCATTCGCGTAAATTTATGTGCTAGAATGTTTATTTCAAGGGCCGGAGAGATATGAAATCTCGTAAATCCCAAAGCTTTTCTGAACGTCTTATTTTTCCCAAGTGTTAACGCATAACACACCGCGGGTTTGTTTATTCTTCACATATACCATAAAGCGTCAGTTTTTGTTGGTGAAAAATAAGTTCTGCGGATATATGCGTTGAAAGTATTCAATTTCTTGGGAAGACGTTGGAATTTTGCCACCTACTGTGAGATTTCCACATAAACACAATTTATTAATTTCAAGAGAAAAGCTGACGTGTTAGGAATGATGCTTGGAAAATAAAATTAAATCTCACATAGCAGAAGTTCAGCGATTTTTCACTTTAAGTAACGGCAAGAAGCAGCAAGAAAATTGATAAATAAACTACTTAAATGAATAAATCGTGTAATTTTATACAATGTTTAGCTTCGCAATTCTCAAGACACGCTTTCACTGGAATCAGAGAGTTTGCCACAAAATAAATTTTAAAAGGAATTGGATGGTGTTTAGTCTTAATTTACACAAATCAACAAATTGTTAAGGTTGCTTAAGAAGAAAGCACCATAAAAGTGCAAATAATAGATAAAACCATTATTTTTAGCCAAAATACTTGCTTGAACAGTATAACAAGTAAAGAAAAACCTAAAATAATAAAATATCTATAATGATTTATGTTAATACTGGTTATTTATTAAACACTTATTATAATATATTGTGTAGTTTATAAAATATATTTTCGTATATTATTACAATTATTTATAATAAAGTACAAATAAATTGTTGTTTTCCGTTTTTCTTCCTTTTTTAAGGCTATTTTAATCAAATATATAAATTCTCTTGCAGTTTTATGGTGTAATTGTAAATAATTTGAAAATAATATCCGTCTTGCATAAAATTTGGTACAAAATAGCTTGTCATTGATTAGGCCATGGCCCACTTTATATAGTTCATATAGTTTAATTATTGTGTGAGGTGAGGAAAATTACTATCTGATAAAATTATAATATTATCAAAATTGTTGAACACCGATTGGAATTTTTAATGAAATTGGAAGTAGTGCCTGCAAAAACTGAGATAATTGCAGAATAAATTTAAATTTCATGTCTTGTAAATTAATTAGAGAATTCATTTTACATTTCTTTTAACTATTTATATATATTTTTTTTTAAATCAAATTTTATTTATATAAAACTTGAACGATTTTCTTTTTTCACAGAATAGTTTTTCATCACCCAGGCTACGTTGCTGGCTTTCTTTGAAACGCCTCATTTCTGCTCTGATATCTCTCTCGAATACACAATTTTTTGTTTGTTGTCGCACGCCCTGTTATCGCTCTCACGAGGAGTAGATTTTCGTCAAAACACGACTGTGGGAGCCTTACGAGTATGTAATGAGGATAAGGGTTTTATTATTAACGGCCGTTTAGACTCCTGATGGTCGAGAGAGCAGCGTCGTGCGAGAGGCAAACATATACACAGAGCAAACAACAATGACGGCACATTGAACTTGAGATACACGACATGATCAAAATATAATTGCTCTCTCGCGAACGGCATCTCCACGTCAAATCAATGACCGGACGACCGACCGAACACGGCTCGCGGCGAGAGAGAGAAAGAAAGAAAAATAGCCGGTATTGCCCAAAAGGAGAGCAAGTTCAGCTTTTGGCCGTTTTTTGCTCAAGACAGGATGCGGATTAGACACCTGCATATCCTGCGAAATGATCAATGAGCAGTTAGCACATCACGGACAAATAAAATCGTCCTGCACAACTGCCCTCTCGCCGTTCACTGACCTTTCCTTCGGCTCATCTTTTTGCGTCATGTGCGGCCGACGCGCGTGTAACACTAGAAGAAGTGCTGCTGTTTCAAAACGACGCTCAAATATATGAAACTCGATATGGCCGGCGAAGACACAAAGACTTAAGGCAGAAAATATTAGGACCCATTTTATTTATGGGCCCCTATCTGCGAAAGAGGATTAAAGAATCGAATTTACTTTTCATTAAAAGTTGTCAGAAAATTTCATTGTGTCTTTTAAAAAGATAATTATAGAAAATTATTATATATAATAATAATCAAGCAAATTTGCAAAACAGGTCTCTATAGTTTATTTATATGAATTTTTGACATAAAAATCTGAAAAAGAAAAAATTCACTCTAGAATATTTAAAATAATGCAATTCTATAAGGTTAGTGAACAGATTCCTTTCTTGTGAATTAGGACATTTTTTAAAATTGCAAAGAGAAATGTGAATTATTCATAATTAGTGGGAATTTCTACGTTTTAATTTTATTTAAACATGTTCTGTTGATTTCAGTTTGAGCATCTAACAAAGGCTAAAATTGAATAATTTAGAAACTTTTTTTTTTAATTTTTAAATGTTCTGATATTCCTTGACTATAAAAAATTTATTGACATAGTGTATTTGCCACTAAAAGGCAAATCACATTAATTATATTAATTTGGCTGCAAAACATTATTTTTTTTTATAACAAAATATTTCCTAAGTCTTTACTGTTCAAATGTAAAACAATGAGAACAAATTGGATTTTCATATAGATCAACATCAATTCAAAGATGACAAGTCGTGCCGCGCTTTATTGGCGCAGAGAAGTGAATTGTGCGTGTGTCTATTCGCTTGCCAATTGGAAAGTAAATTGGACACAATTGAAGCCAATTACGCGCGTGGGACAGCTAGGCAGTCGCAGTGAAACTCGATTTGACGCACGCAACGCCGTTCATCTTAATTCATCTTTCTATTATATTTCAGCGTACGTAACTTTTCCCCCGAGGTGCGTTCGCTGCGTTGATTTGCCTTAATAAATAATTCACGTGCGCATTGACGGTTTAATCGTCTACCAGCATAATTGAGCCTTTGGCTTCGGCAGGTCTTATACACGTAAATCATTCGGCAAGGGAGAGAAATTACCAAGGGCAAAGACCTCGCAAACGTATAAGTGTACCACTTTTGCCAAAAGGAATTTTGCCGTAAAACCAGTTGCGCAAATTTCATGCGCGTCACCAAGGCAAGATAAAGAAGGAAAAAGAATTCCTAGTGGGAATTCCTCATAAATAGTTTAAAAAAACACTGCTGATAAAAGAAAATTGGACTATAGAAAGTGCAAAAATTATTTGGTAGAACTGTGAAGACAAAATAAGAATTGAAGATAAATATTATTGATTGACGGGTGGGAAAATTATTATAAATAAACCCAAACTGTAATTTTTTTCAAAGTTTAAATTGCGCTTTTAAAATCATTTAAATTTATCTATTTTGAGATTTTCACCTTTTATCACCTTTATTTTGAAATAAAAATCTCGACCATTGCAAATTATTTTAAGAAAATTAGCTTTTTTAAATTAATTTTACTTAAAATCAGCCAAAAACAAACACAAAATTTAAATATTTAACATTGTCACCTATTTGGCTTTGGAACCCAAAATTAAATAAATATAAATGTTTTGGATTAAAAGAAATATTTTCATAAATGAATTTGAGATCTCCTGATAATTTTTAACATTTGCTGCAAAAGTTAAACACCATAATTAACCAAGACTTCTTATACCAGATCATTTATTTGAATCCCGAACGGATCAATTAATCACAACGCAGATTAATTGAATAATTAATAGCCGCTCGCAATCGGACTCGTCTCGGAAATCATTTTTTATTTCCCGCCATAGGCGCGGTCTCTCTTTTTATCTCTCACCTCTAAAATGTGATTAATTACCAAGGCAGGTCATTTAATATTCCCGCAGCTATTTGATGTTGCGGCTAAAAGAGAGAAAGAAAAGAGACGTATCAAAACCGGAGCGAATTTTTTCCCGCTGTCGGGTTGCGCGAAACCGCATTAATATTTCACGTACTTATAAAGCGGCTAATCCCAACGAGCTGGAGATCGTTTTACAACGAGAGTAAATATTTGCGTGGATTGACTTTTTGAATTTTATTAAGGAGGCGACTGAAATCCAACACCACGCGCAGTCTTGGCCGTCAAACACAATCCTTTCACGCTTGCTGACTGAATGTAATATGCAAATGGACGGACACGCCAATGCGTTATACATATCGAGTTGCCGCCACTTTCAGCAGCGCAGGGGTCACTGCGTCAGTGACAAGGCGACGCTTTTATAATCATCCAGACAGCGGAAACGTTCGACAGCAAATCGATTGCAAAATTAAAGTTGAGCGCAAAATCCATCAGCTCGTATCAGTCTGGATTAAACAGTGACGCTTATCCTCTTAAACCATCACACCTTTCATAGAAGGGTTAAATTTTTTAACACAAATATCAGATTACGCAATTTTTTAATTTAAAAAAAGAAATATAAAAAATAACGAGAAATCACGTAGTTGCGTGTAATTACTGCTGCAATTTATCTCATAAAAGGAATAAATGGTGTTTATAAAAATTTATTGCGTATTTAGCTTTTTAACCATTTATCTCTTGATATTTTTACAAATGTTGTTAATATTTTTATAAAATTTCATCCTCAGGGTCAGAATCAATTCCGAAAGGGCCAAAATCTTCTTATTCGACCCAAATCATAATTAAAGTATGAAAGAAGAAAATAACGTATTTAACTGACTTTGAGTCAATATTCAAAATTCCCTGAAATTTTAACTTATCAAACTGGTGTTTTATTAATAAAAAAGTAGAAAATCAAT